CGTTTCGTTTTTATTTTACTACGTTTTGCGGCTCATGCAAGGATTATAGGCTTGGATATTAAAAGGATTATTGGAAGTATGGGAAGGATTTAGGGTTTAGGATTATTGGAAGGATTATGACTACGTACGTGGAGAGGAACCACGACAAGGACACTACACCATAAACGCACTGCACCACGTACTGCACCGAGAACAAGAAGAAGATTGTTTGATAATTCTTTTCACGATCACCAAGCTTTGTAGAAAAATATTTTACTCATACAAGAAACTACGTAGGTTATCAGTGAAATATGTTATAAATGAATAAAATTAAAAAACAACAATTTTAAAAATAAAATTTTACTGAGGGGCAAAATAGTAAAGGAAAGGTGGAGGAAGGGGCAAAATAGTAAAGGGGAGGTGGAGGAAGAGATGTGTGGGGGTGGAGGGAGCAACACCCCAGGTATTAATGGTATCATTTAATTTGGACGCGTGTATTGGGCCCGCCTAGGGCCCTACTACGAGAATCGGTTTTATTTGTTGTTTCTTCTAGCTAGGAAGATTACGTGTTGTTCTGACTTGTCTATTAGAGGCTTCTTCTTATTCTTTGTTCTTGTAGTTTTTAAAACCAGTCATTTTCTTTATCTTAATATTTAGCCTCTTATCATGAGATGCCTCAATAAAAGAAAATCACACAAAACAACAGCATATAATTACTTGAGGACCATTACATTATTCCAACACTAATTGAAATGTACACTGAGGAAATGAAACAACCAACAAACAAGACCTAACAACCAACCAGAGTACAAAGAAAACATTATAAAAACACAAATTATCATAGTAAACACACAAGCAAGGCATCAAAGATATAAGGAAGGCACATGTGATTGCTCTCAGACTACTTTCATGGTTTCCAAAGAATGGTTGTCTGAGCAATCATGGAAGTGACGACATAAGGGTCCATGTTAGATGCAGGTCTCCTATCCTCAAAGTATCCCTTCCCTTTCTTCTCTGTGTCCCTCCCTACCCTTATTGAAGCACCACGGTTCGCAACACCCTGCATTCCCACATCAACACCACCATCAATACATTAACATAACATTCAATCTTTTCATTTTCTGCCTTGTTTCGTTAACAATTCAATAAACTACTACTACAAAAATAAAACTTTACTATTCGTTCAATAACTTAATATTTAAAAAACAAGTAAAACATCATACATGTGATTACTTCTTCAAGTTTAAACAAGTTTGTTTCCTTAATATTGCTTTATGGCTTACCCATATGAAGGTGTTTATGTCCGCTGTCTCGTGTTTTCCTGTCAAACGACGTTCATTGCCTTCTCCATAAGCGGCTATGTGCTCCTTGTGCCTCTTTTCCAACTTACTGATTGCTTTTTTGATGACTTCATAGCCACCATCGCTTCTCATGGACTTGGTACTGCAACATTAATTATATATACATATCATCCACTTGTCAAGCATAAAAGTAATGTGACACCATGTTAATTACTAACAAACTCATTCATTATACCTGAAATTCGTGTGAGCGCCAGCACAATTCCAATCACCCTAGTTTTTAAGAACCCGGCCAAAATGACATGAGTCAATATCATTACACCAAATTAAGTAAACCATATACATAAGAAAGTATGCTGTGGTAATAACATGAATGTTTTGATTGAATGTGTAGAGAATCAAATATGGTCTCAGTTTTTTCATGAGTATGGGATATCCACCTTAATCGGTTGAGGATCAAAAGAAAGCACCACCCCAGCAATCTCGGTGATCCTCTGTTAACACAGATAAAGACATTGCTGTAAATTTTTCACAAAAGAGAATGAATTTGATGATGAGGGTGACACAGTATTCAAGTTCTAACAACCTCCAAAATGTAGCGAGCAACCCACAAGTCGTCACAGGCAGATATGCCAGCCGATGGACCAATTTGGAATTCCCACTACATATATCATCAAGAATGAATTCAAATCAAAGAAGTTAGAATTTGAAGAAAAAAAATACCAAATATAAGTCTAGAACACAATAATAGATCAAGCAACATCCAGTACTATTGGGTCTAGAATTTGACATTGGCTGAAACAATAGGGTTAAAGAATGATGAATAGGAATATTTTATTTTAATTTACCTGACCGGGCATCACTTCTCCATTAATTCCAGTAATGTTAATGCCTGCATAAAGACAGGCTTTGAAATGAGAGTTCACAATGTCCCGTCCGAAAGCTTTGTTTGCTCCAACACCACAATAGTAGGGTCCCTTATGAGCAAGGGAAAAAATTCAGTACATGTAACGATAAGTCAATAACAAAATTTAATAAAGTGAATTGGCATAACAACTCACAATACTCAGTTGTCAGCCACAAAAAAAGGACTCAAGTTTAAATTGGGTCAAAAATTTAGAAACCTTTCATAGAAAAGATCATGTGAGCGGCCGGAATAATTTGATGAGTGCCATACAAAAATTAAACGATGGGGTGCTTTACATCAAACACCTAATCTTCCATTTTAAAAATTGAAGAAAAGGAATTTCACCTGGGGTCCAGGAAAACCACCAATAGGCCATCCGAGGGGCCATTGGACATCTTTCTGCAACAAGGTGTATTCTTGCTCAATGCCATACCTAGAAGGAGATCGTAAATTAACATTTATTGTAGGGAAAAGAAGAAAATAATGATGGTGAAAGGTCACTAGAAACTGCAAGGAAGCAACAAAATATACCAGGGTTCTTCAGCAACAACATCAGGATGGCTAAATATCTTTGCCGCATTATATCTCTTGTTGGTAGGAATGGGTTCTCCCGCAGCAGTGTAAGTATCACACATAACCTGCGACCAATTGCAATTACAAGACATGAAATGAAAGATTTTTTTTTTTCACACATAAAATAGCAGACATGAAGAAACATACCAGAATATTTTCACCCCTCCTGAATGGATCCTTGAAAATTGCTTGTGGACTGTTGTATTTGGTTAAGAGGCACAACATTAATGAGAAGTGTTTGGAAAAGAACTAACCCTAAATATGTGATGGTCCAAATTGACCACAAAATGATCCATGATTTGAAAGTGTGGAGAAAGGTATGAAGAGATGGGAATGGAGAAGGGAGCTTACTATAACAGCACTTCACTATCTGCTCCAGGAGCTTGACCAGTGCTGGAACCATCATAGGTCCATTTGGGAAGCTCGGAAGGATCATTAACCGGACCTGAAAGAGTCTATATCCAAGATCACTTTATATTTGCCTTAATAACAAAGTCAAATCGAAAGATTGAAATTAATGCATACTTTTTCTGGCTCTTTTCTAAGTTGGATCAGGTACTCGGTTCAAAAACTTCCAGAAGGCACAGACATTTTTTAATAATTATAAACATTCTAAAACATTAATAGATAGAAACAAGTTGTTGTTTGCTTCTCTTTTTGGTTACAAAATTAAATAAACTCACCCGTGCCTTACTCCTCATGTCCATACCAGATCCACCAACCCTGTCATAATAAAAATCAAAAGGGGTTAAGAGTTTATTAAGTGTGGAAAAGCTATTTCATCACATAATATCATAGAAAATTGACAAAAAAATGTGGTTAAGATAGGACAAACTAGCAATTTAAGTAGAGCAATCATTGTTCAAACATACAAATAAAACCAAAATCAAAATTATTCAACAAGCATATTATTATTCAGGTACATCAAGAGAATAATTGCAGCATAGGTACATGTTAAGTGAAAAAATTCAGTAAAAATGTGATTGGTATTGGATATTTAAGAGCATGAATTCCTTTAAATTTCAATCACTCCCTCCACCCCCACACGTCTCTTCCTCCACCTCCCCAATTTTCTAAAATGCCAATTATATCCTTCTAAAATGACAATTATATCCTCAAAAGTTAAAATTTTTTATTTTTATTATTTTAATATTTTAATTTATTTAAAACTTCTGATTTACTTCCCTCTGCACCTCTTCCTCTCTTCCATTTTCGTTTACCTTTCTCTCTTCCGTTAAGCTTCTTCTCCACCTATAACAAATTCATATTTTAACAAATTCATATTTTAACAAAATTATTACGTTTAAAAACTAACCATATATAACATTTAAAATTATAAATTTAAATATAAATTACTGTAAATAAAATAAACAAATAAAATAAAAACGAAACGTAAAAGCAACACTGCCTCTGGACGGATGACATCCTTCAACGGATGTCAACATCCGTTGAAGGCAAAACGGATGTCGACATCCGTTTTGCCTTAAACGGATGTCGACATCCGTTTTGCCTTAAACGGATGTTGACATCCGTTGAAGGATGTCATCCGTCCATAGGCAGTGTTCCTTTTACGTTTCGTTTTTATTTTACTACGTTTTGCGGCTCATGCAAGGATTATAGGCTTGGATATTAAAAGGATTATTGGAAGTATGGGAAGGATTTAGGGTTTAGGATTATTGGAAGGATTATGACTACGTACCTGGAGAGGAACCACGACAAGGACACTACACCATAAACGCACTGCACCACGTACTGCACCGAGAACAAGAAGAAGATTGTTTGATAATTCTTTTCACGATCACCAAGCTTTGTAGAAAAATATTTTACTCATACAAGAAACTACGTAGGTTATCAGTGAAATATGTTATAAATGAATAAAATTAAAAAACAACAATTTTAAAAATAAAATTTTACTGAGGGGCAAAATAGTAAAGGAAAGGTGGAGGAAGGGGCAAAATAGTAAAGGGGAGGTGGAGGAAGAGATGTGTGGGGGTGGAGGGAGCAACACCCCAGGTATTAATGGTATCATTTAATTTGGACGCGTGTATTGGGCCCGCCTAGGGCCCTACTACGAGAATCGGTTTTATTTGTTGTTTCTTCTAGCTAGGAAGATTACGTGTTGTTCTGACTTGTCTATTAGAGGCTTCTTCTTATTCTTTGTTCTTGTAGTTTTTAAAACCAGTCATTTTCTTTATCTTAATATTTAGCCTCTTATCATGAGATGCCTCAATAAAAGAAAATCACACAAAACAACAGCATATAATTACTTGAGGACCATTACATTATTCCAACACTAATTGAAATGTACACTGAGGAAATGAAACAACCAACAAACAAGACCTAACAACCAACCAGAGTACAAAGAAAACATTATAAAAACACAAATTATCATAGTAAACACACAAGCAAGGCATCAAAGATATAAGGAAGGCACATGTGATTGCTCTCAGACTACTTTCATGGTTTCCAAAGAATGGTTGTCTGAGCAATCATGGAAGTGACGACATAAGGGTCCATGTTAGATGCAGGTCTCCTATCCTCAAAGTATCCCTTCCCTTTCTTCTCTGTGTCCCTCCCTACCCTAATTGAAGCACCACGGTTCGCAACACCCTGCATTCCCACATCAACACCACCATCAATACATTAACATAACATTCAATCTTTTCATTTTCTGCCTTGTTTCGTTAACAATTCAATAAACTACTACTACAAAAATAAAACTTTACTATTCGTTCAATAACTTAATATTTAAAAAACAAGTAAAACATCATACATGTGATTACTTCTTCAAGTTTAAACAAGTTTGTTTCCTTAATATTGCTTTATGGCTTACCCATATGAAGGTGTTTATGTCCGCTGTCTCGTGTTTTCCTGTCAAACGACGTTCATTGCCTTCTCCATAAGCGGCTATGTGCTCCTTGTGCCTCTTTTCCAACTTACTGATTGCTTTTTTGATGACTTCATAGCCACCATCGCTTCTCATGGACTTGGTACTGCAACATTAATTATATATACATATCATCCACTTGTCAAGCATAAAAGTAATGTGACACCATGTTAATTACTAACAAACTCATTCATTATACCTGAAATTCGTGTGAGCGCCAGCACAATTCCAATCACCCTAGTTTTTAAGAACCCGGCCAAAATGACATGAGTCAATATCATTACACCAAATTAAGTAAACCATATACATAAGAAAGTATGCTGTGGTAATAACATGAATGTTTTGATTGAATGTGTAGAGAATCAAATATGGTCTCAGTTTTTTCATGAGTATGGGATATCCACCTTAATCGGTTGAGGATCAAAAGAAAGCACCACCCCAGCAATCTCGGTGATCCTCTGTTAACACAGATAAAGACATTGCTGTAAATTTTTCACAAAAGAGAATGAATTTGATGATGAGGGTGACACAGTATTCAAGTTCTAACAACCTCCAAAATGTAGCGAGCAACCCACAAGTCGTCACAGGCAGATATGCCAGCCGATGGACCAATTTGGAATTCCCACTACATATATCATCAAGAATGAATTCAAATCAAAGAAGTTAGAATTTGAAGAAAAAAAATACCAAATATAAGTCTAGAACACAATAATAGATCAAGCAACATCCAGTACTATTGGGTCTAGAATTTGACATTGGCTGAAACAATAGGGTTAAAGAATGATGAATAGGAATATTTTATTTTAATTTACCTGACCGGGCATCACTTCTCCATTAATTCCAGTAATGTTAATGCCTGCATAAAGACAGGCTTTGAAATGAGAGTTCACAATGTCCCGTCCGAAAGCTTTGTTTGCTCCAACACCACAATAGTAGGGTCCCTTATGAGCAAGGGAAAAAATTCAGTACATGTAACGATAAGTCAATAACAAAATTTAATAAAGTGAATTGGCATAACAACTCACAATACTCAGTTGTCAGCCACAAAAAAAGGACTCAAGTTTAAATTGGGTCAAAAATTTAGAAACCTTTCATAGAAAAGATCATGTGAGCGGCCGGAATAATTTGATGAGTGCCATACAAAAATTAAACGATGGGGTGCTTTACATCAAACACCTAATCTTCCATTTTAAAAATTGAAGAAAAGGAATTTCACCTGGGGTCCAGGAAAACCACCAATAGGCCATCCGAGGGGCCATTGGACATCTTTCTGCAACAAGGTGTATTCTTGCTCAATGCCATACCTAGAAGGAGATCGTAAATTAACATTTATTGTAGGGAAAAGAAGAAAATAATGATGGTGAAAGGTCACTAGAAACTGCAAGGAAGCAACAAAATATACCAGGGTTCTTCAGCAACAACATCAGGATGGCTAAATATCTTTGCCGCATTATATCTCTTGTTGGTAGGAATGGGTTCTCCCGCAGCAGTGTAAGTATCACACATAACCTGCGACCAATTGCAATTACAAGACATGAAATGAAAGATTTTTTTTTTTCACACATAAAATAGCAGACATGAAGAAACATACCAGAATATTTTCACCCCTCCTGAATGGATCCTTGAAAATTGCTTGTGGACTGTTGTATTTGGTTAAGAGGCACAACATTAATGAGAAGTGTTTGGAAAAGAACTAACCCTAAATATGTGATGGTCCAAATTGACCACAAAATGACCCATGATTTGAAAGTGTGGAGAAAGGTATGAAGAGATGGGAATGGAGAAGGGAGCTTACTATAACAGCACTTCACTATCTGCTCCAGGAGCTTGACCAGTGCTGGAACCATCATAGGTCCATTTGGGAAGCTCGGAAGGATCATTAACCGGACCTGAAAGAGTCTATATCCAAGATCACTTTATATTTGCCTTAATAACAAAGTCAAATCGAAAGATTGAAATTAATGCATACTTTTTCTGGCTCTTTTCTAAGTTGGATCAGGTACTCGGTTCAAAAACTTCCAGAAGGCACAGACATTTTTTAATAATTATAAACATTCTAAAACATTAATAGATAGAAACAAGTTGTTGTTTGCTTCTCTTTTTGGTTACAAAATTAAATAAACTCACCCGTGCCTTACTCCTCATGTCCATACCAGATCCACCAACCCTGTCATAATAAAAATCAAAAGGGGTTAAGAGTTTATTAAGTGTGGAAAAGCTATTTCATCACATAATATCATAGAAAATTGACAAAAAAATGTGGTTAAGATAGGACAAACTAGCAATTTAAGTAGAGCAATCATTGTTCAAACATACAAATAAAACCAAAATCAAAATTATTCAACAAGCATATTATTATTCAGGTACATCAAGAGAATAATTGCAGCATAGGTACATGTTAAGTGAAAAAATTCAGTAAAAATGTGATTGGTATTGGATATTTAAGAGCATGAATTCCTTTAAATTTCAATCATAATTACTTCCAATCTAGAATAATTTCCTTTACTTGAAGGAGAGAAACAAGAACTCTAGAAGAGAATGGGAGAAGATGTTTCATCCATATCAAGTCAAGAAATATAGGAAAATTTACTAAAACTACATATTTTTGTTTGAACAAGAAATAAAGGGAAACAGGGAAGTCTCTGGAATTCATTTTCATTTAACTGAAATCAATCAATGAAACTAAAACATTTGAAAAGAATAGGAAAACCAAAAAAAAATTCATTCAGATAAACCAACAAATATAGGTAGAATTCATTAAAATTATGTATTTTTGCTTGAAAAAAAATACAAAGAGATAGGACAGTCTCTTGAACTTATTTTCAAATTGATTGAGTATTTTTACTTAAGCAAAAACAATCAATCAATGAAATAAACTAAAACATTTGAAAAGAATAGAAAAGTCGAAGAAAGTTTCAATCAGATTAAGCTAGGGTGAATTCACTGAAGAAACATACTTTTTATTGAGAAAAAATAGTAGGAAACAGAGAAATCTCTTAAACTTATTTTTACTTTTATTTTTACTTGAGTGAGTATTTTCACTTAAGTTGAAAATAATCAATCAAGAAAAGAAATTAAAACACTTGAAAAGAATAAAAAAGTGGAAGAAAGTTCCTTCAGATTAAGCCAACGAATGTAGTGAGAATTCACTAAAGCAACATATTTTTGCTTGAAAAAAATACCAAAATACAGGAAAGTCTCTTGAACTTATTTTCACTTGAGTGAGTATTTTCACTTAAGTGAAAACAAAGAATCAATAAGGAAAGAAACTAAAACATTTGAAAAAAAATTAGGAAAGCCGAAAAAAGTTTCATTAAGATCAAGTCAACTAATGGAGAGAAAATTCATTAAAACTACATATTTTTGCTTGGAAAAAAAATACCAAGAAACAAGACAGTTTCTTGAATTTATTTTCACTTGATTGGGTATTTTCACTTAAGCAAAAGCAATCTATCAAAAGAAAAAAAAAAACAAAACATTTGAAAAGAATAGAAAAACAGAAGAAAATTTCATTTAAATCAAGGAAAATTTTTGCTTGAGAAAAATAGCAGAAAACAAGGAAATTTCTAACTTATTTTCACTTGAGTGAGTACTATCAATTAAGCAAAATTAATCAAGGAAAAAAAACTAAAATATTTGAAAAGAATAAGAAAGTAGAAGAAAATTTCATTCAGATCAAGCCAACAAATATAAGAACAATTAAATGGACATATTTTTACTTAAGCAAAAAAATAACAGAAAACGTAAAAGTCTTTTAAACTTATTTTCACTTGAACTAGTATTTTCATTTAAGCAAAAATACCTTTCTTTAGCTTGGAAACATAAGATTAGATTGAGCTAAATTTCACTTGCTTGAACAAAAGTTTGTAAAAATATAAAAGTCCTTGAGAGCTAATTGTTGTACTTTATTTTGTTCAGCCTTTTTTGAGAGTAATTTTGGGAGATGAACACGAAGGGAGGAGACGAAGGAAGCCTGAATCAATTAGGAAGAAGATTCAATACTTGCTCTCTTTTTTTTTGTCCTAAATCCATTAATAGTGTAAAAGGAAAACCATCATTATTATAGTTGTTGATCTTTTGAACCTAACATTTTCTGATTCTTTATCCAGTGTTGATGATTTGATTTTATTTTTAAATGTTAAAATGATTTGAGCACTCATATCTTTTAACTAATTTAGATTGGGGTTGAAATCAGATCTTAAATATGAAGTTAAATCAGATTATTTCAAATGTTTGAATGTTAGAAATAAATAAATATAGTAGTTAAATCAAGTTTAATTAATCATAATGAGTTAAAAAATCAGATGTCAAGATTAAATCTTTAGATATTCTATAGTTATTTTCTAATAACACTGAAGTACTGAAGTTGAATATATATATATATATATATATATATATATATATATATAATTAGGAAAGCACAGTAAAAAGGAATATGAGAAATTCAACCTGACATACTTCTTCTCATAATTGTTGTTTCAATCCAACAATTTTGATTTCTGAAGTTAAAATTATTTTCATAAATATAAATCTTGAATACATTTTGTTAAACACTATTTTATGAAAATCTTTAATGTAAGTTAGTCAGAGATATAATTAACGTGAATTGCATAAATCTCTAGGAATACACTAGAGTTGTTGTTAAATTTATTACTACAGAAAAAGAAAAAAATCTTATCAGTACATCCATGCACACATAAGAACGTATAGAGACATGCCATATTGCAACCCTTGTTTACACGTGCATGGGATGTAAATATGTAGTAAGAAAAGAGAGATGAGACACTAACCATATGTATTCCGCGATCACCTTCTCAGTAGTGTTGGAGAGGTTAAGGTTGATTAGATCGGAGAGTAACGACATCTTCAATACAAAATTTTAGCACAGAACTATAATTTCTTTCTCTTCCCTTGTACCACTGTTTCGATACAAGGTTGGGGCTTTACAGTGTGATCTCTGATATGTTAAAACAATTTACAAATGTTATCATGCGTTTCAAAAACAAAATCAACATACAGTAGGGGACAACTTTCTGCAATAGGAATCATGCATGTTTCTGAAAAATGTTCACACATACAAATCAAAGATTTTTATGTTTGGTTTTAATAGGGTTTCTTCAAACATACATATATATATTACTTTTTTTCGTGTCTTGATACATTTCATATCACAGGTTTGGTGAGAAAGCTCACTTTCACTTACTCTGATTTATTTAATTTGGTTGTTATTGCATTACTAATGTTAATATTAACATTGTTAATTAATTTACCATTTTTCCTCTTTCTTATAATAACTTCCAAGTTAGGAACCAAAGATATACATAAATGTTATACAAAAATAATATTTTAACAACCCTAAAGAAATGCACCCACCTTACTATTCACTTTAATGCTATAATAATATATATTAGAATTTTAAATTAAAAAATAAAATAAATATAATTTATTTTGAGTTATTAAAGGATTGTTTTATTCTTAATGGGTGTCTGAAAAATCTTTTGGAAATATTAAACCAAAAAGTCATTTTAAATACAAAAACTCCTAAGAACAGTTCGAAAGTCATATCTTACGTAAAATTCAGATAATGGACATGGAATGCAGAGTAGAAGATGTCAGATATCAAAGATATTTTTGTCTTGAGATGTCATATAGTAAGGGTATTTTTGTCTTGAGATGTCATATATTAAGGGTATATTTGTCTTCTTAAACCAGTGGAGGTGTAGAAGAAGTCATGGAATGCAGGAAGAAAAATTCCCGGAAACCAATGGTCCAGAGCCCAGAAGCTTGTGTCCAACACAGACCTAATTGTTGCTTTTAGTCTTTCAAAACAACAAAAATTTCACACAGAAAATAAAAAATGATCGAAAAATTAATCGGTAAATTACAAGCCACTAAAGGCTTGAGTGTAATGTTCACTTGCATGCACGTATGAGAAGCAACCATGAACTGGAGCAAGCCTTGCAAACAAAAAACTAGAACAATTCTCAGAAATAAAAAATAAAATTAATTTCTGCATATAACAATTTCAAATTTTTTATTTTGTTAATCTATGTTAAAATCATGGGCACTTTTTTTCTTGTCATCAGAAAAACTCCAAATAGGTCCAAGTAAAAAGAAACACAGAAATATAGGCAATTACCACGAGGATGTTTTTCTTTGAGCCAAGTTTCAAAATCTGGAAATGAAAACTTTTGTTGGTTTTGCAGGCGTAGCCAAAGTTGGAGTTTCGGAGAAAGATTTGAGAGGAAATAGTATGGGTTGAGAGGAAGAGTATGTGTAGAATAAATAATGTAAAAATGGAGAAACAAAATTGCAAACAATGCCGCTTCTCTCTCTTTCAGATCTCTTTTCAGATGTACGTGTCATTTCCCTTGTCATTCTATGTTCAAAAGCTTGACACCTGCCCTGCACAACATATTCCCTAAATCCAATGGCTAAAAATTCCTCATCCTAGTTGCATCCGTGTATATGTGTGAGAAATTTTCATGGAATTCCTCATGCTTATTCATAAAATTACATTTAAATATTAATATGTTTACAAAAAAGTTTCTTAAGATTCGGATTAACTTTCAGGTCAGTTACAATCACCTATAGTTTTAATCTATGAAATATTTAGGAACCACTTAGTTTGTGTTTTGTTTTTATATGTATGTATTTTTTCAGAGAAATGTGAGGTTGAATTTATTATTTGCTCGTTTGCTTTTATGATTTTGTATGAATTTGAGAACACATATTTGCGTGAGACATAGAGGGATTGATTCGTGCAAATTGCAAAGACTGGAAATGATGGTAAATGGAAAAGGCAAAATTACCATTGTCTTTCTTTTGAAATAAGGTTGTTCTTTCCAACACGTATTAAAGATTCCTAGTGAAATTTCCTATATGTATAGTTAAGATTCTTCTGCAAATTCTGAGTCTTTGACAATGGAGGGAGAGAAATGGGATGGTAGTTTCATTAAAAAGCCATGAATGTGCCATGAACGTGAAGGCTAGGTGTATTTAGGTGGTGGCACAGAAAATCTTGTAATAATATTGGTTAAATTTTCCATTATTGTGCAAACCATCAACCCAATTCCAACACCAATTTTAACAGAATTTTCAACCTCAAGCTCCAAATCGCGAATCGATTTTAACCTAAAGCTAATTCCATTTAACCTTGTGTTATAAGTAATCCATGTTATTAAATTTTATTTTTAAAATTGACACCTCAATTCTTTTCAGAGTGTCACATAATAATAATCTAGACAATTCATTTAGTTTTGGCCATTGAAGCAATTCTGTCGTTAGCATTTTTAACGCCTTATGCAAAAAAGACTAAATATAAACCGTTTTTACATAATATGAGAAGTCTGTGAACTTTAAAAAAAAAAGTAGGACAACTTTTATCATATTTAACCAACCGAGAGACCGAGATAAGTATTAAACTAAAAAAATAAAATCTCTTATAAAACAATTTTGCTTTTAGCAAGTCAAAATTTTGGTGTCCAAGTCAGTATTCTTTTTACACATACAAAGCTCTCGTTAATTATTGAAATAACGTATAAATAATAAATAAGTTTATTTTAATTTTTGTCTAGCTTATTTATTCTATTTATTCTATGAACACTTATAATATTATTGTTATTTCTTTATATTTGATAAAAGAAATGTACTGTGACCTCACATTCTTAATAATAAACTTACTTGTGAAAGTTTTACTAAACATATTAACCATTTACATACCATATTACTTAATTTTTATTTGATTTACAAACTATATTGTTGCTTATTTATAAAATTATGTAAATGGACAATTAAACAAGTTCTTAAACATATAATATTGGTTGTTTACCAATTAGGTTAGTAATTTTGTTAGTTGCACACTTCAATCTAGTTGAGAAATGAACAAATGGACTAGTTATGTATGTATTGATGTATCAAACCATACTTTTAAACATATCAAAATATTAAGACTTCCTCAAAACATTTAGAGTAATGACTATATATAAAGCACATAAGTCATATAAAAGTAACATGAAGTTCATATACAAATGATGAATAAAACATATAAAAATGACACATGAAACACATAAAACTGATATGAATGTCATATAAAAATGAAATGAATGTTAGAGAGATAATGATATAAAGAAATGATACAAAGGTCATGAAAAATGTTATGAACACATATATAGTAATGAGACAAAAAAATGTCACATATTCACTTTTATTCATTTGACCTGCCCTGTTAAAAACTTAAAATGAAATAATTGAGGAAAAAAAATTCTAAGTAAAGGAGGACATGTGTATATCACAACAGAACAAATAATTAACTATACTTTTATTAGAAGCATGGTGTTCATAACTAGTTTTTTTAACACTTGTAATAAAATTATATTACTCTTTGGCTTTTAGATATTATATATTGTCATGTAATTAGAAGATATTTTTGTTATTATATATATATATATATATATATAT